AGGAGGAGGAGGAGGAGGAGGAGGAGGAAGAGGAGGAGGAGGAAGAAGAAGAGGAGGAGGATGACGACGGAGAAGGGAACGAAGCGGACTGCGTCAAGCCAGGGTGCGAGTCCGACGGGATGCTCGTTGTTTGCGACCATTGCGTGGGGGCGGTGCACCTGGAGTGCGCGGACCCGCCGATGATACAGTAAGTGGCAACTTGATCTCTCGCGTGTTGTTGGCAACGAATTTGTGTTGTTTTTTTGTGCGTCGTTAGATTGTTTTTTATTTGTCGGGGCCATGATTCAGTATGGGCCATTTGATCTGTTGTTGGCTGTTCAGTTTCTTTTGCCGTGAGGTGCCCGATTTCTTTTTTTTTTCTTGTCCCATGATCCAGGAAATATTCAGGGAGTGTCGTTTGATCCGTCTTTGGTCAAAAGTTTCGTGTGCGTTGTTGGTGTGTTTTATCTAACTTGGGAGTGCAAGCTTTTTGGTCTTGGGGGCCATACGCCCGTGGGCAGTCAAATATTGCTACTGGAATGTGTGTAAGTGTCATGTCAGCTAGCGTTATTTTGGTATGTCTCGTTTCGTTGTTCCGTGTGCGTGTTTTTATTCTTTCACGGGTATCGGGTTATCTGTTCGTTTGTTGATCGTGTTTGCTCGGTACGGCTCGCCCCGGCTTCAGAAAACCGCGAGTTCGGCGGGTGGTCGTGGCGCCGTGCGCAAACCTCCGCGACCGGAGAGCAAAAGCATCATCGACGTTGGACGGGGAAGGAGACAGTTGTTATCACGCCACCACTTTTTTTTTTTTTTTCTGTGCGCCACGCTAGTGCGGGCCGTCCGTGTCCTATGGTTTTTTACTGTTTCTCGTTTTTCGGAGCCCGAAGTATTTTGCGGCGACCTCGTTGTCGGGAAGCGCTTCAAAGAAACACCACGGCTCAGACCGACGGCGTATGGCGGAATGACAATGCAGGGTACCGGCCGAGTTCTACCTGTGCGAGAACTGCCGGGGCATGTGCTCCATCTGCCTGGACACGGCCAAGAGAGACGACACGGACGTTCGCTGCTTCCAGTGCTACCGCCTCTTCCACTCTTCATGTCTCGACAGGTTAGTCTGAGGAGGCGTTATTTATATATATATATGTGTGTGTCTCTCACGGTCTAGCGCCGTTTGGTTTGGTCTGCTCTTGGAGGTGCCCCCAATGAGCTACCGTCCCCCAATAATAGTATGACGGTTGGTGAGTGCACTCGGCTTTCCCTTTTTTCCCGTGTGTGTCCCTATGCCGATGAGCAAGCAAGAAGGGACGCGGGAACTAGGGGCCAGAAAAAATGTTTTTGGCTTGAAGGCAACAACCTACAGTACAACAATCTACAGCAACTACAGCAGTTGCTACCAGTAGCCTTCTCAGGGCTGTTCGTACTATGCAAACATGTTGGATGAGGCGGACAATCGGGGGAGTCGGGTTAGGGTTGTGAAATACGGTCTGCGTCCCCCCTTTCCGTGTGCTATTTCCTCGTAAACTTCAAGATAAACTTGTTGATCGCGCTAGGGCGGTCCGTTGCTACACCGACGACGACGACGCGAACGGCGTTGGTAGGGCACGCATGTGTGCGTTTTTCGGGTACGTTGCGTGTTCGTGTGTGTGTGTGTGTCGTTGCCATCGGACAGAAACGGCACGCCGAAGACGGGGGATGCGGTCGGCAACGTTCCGAGGGCGCCTTTGAGAATCATGGTGCGTCCGACCTCCTACGTGAATAGTCCTGTGCATATCCTGCTTGCCTCCGGTCCTCAACACCTGAAAAAACAAAAATCGAAACAGTGTGCCCGATCCCGACAACTTCCACTGGATGTGCTCCGAGTGCGTCGAGAGCGAGGAGCTAAAGGTCGAGACGATCCTCCACTGCCGAAGCCACAAGCCCATGAACGCTGTTGTTAGGCTCGCCCGAGTCAACAGCTTCAGAGAAAAGAAGGTGCGTGTCTATGATTATCTGTGTGTTTCATTAGCACCTGACCGGCTGGCTAATCAAAAGACGTCAGTCTCACAACTATGTGTGGTTTGTTGCTGTTAGCATCGACCGCGCTAACCGACTGACCGAAGCAATGACTTCAGTCTCAGTGAGGTTGACAACATCAATAAGGCCATGATCTGGGACCCGGTGAGGGGGCGTCAAGGGGAAGGTGTATGCTCCTCCACGGATTAAAGATGGATACCGTATTGTCCGTCCGGGACAATTTGTCCATTCTTGTTTTGTGCGATAACTTTTGTAAAAAAAAAAAAAGAGTTGGAACATGAAACAACGATGTTCATGATCGCCTCGTCGAGCTACGTCGATAGCTGCAGAGTTTTTTCAATTTTGAGAAAGTGCAACACATTTGTGGCGGTAATGATTCACGGAACCCCTAATCATACCACGGAACCCCCTAGTCATACCACGGAACCCTCCTAATCATACCACGGAAGCTCCCAGAGTTTTGAAGCTCTGCACCATTTGTACCTGCTCTATGTATACTCGTGTGCATATGATATGCATATCAAACACCACATATACTATATTGCATTCGTGACGGGCATTGTCATCCTCGACAACACTCATGGGAGAAACATCGGACTCATGGCCATAACCGACGAGCTGTGCTGGTGGTGCTGTTGCCTGAGCACGCGGCACGATGGTTCCATCCGCGTTCCGCGCCATCTTTGTTCTTCGTTTCTTGCGTCGCGGCATGTGTGGGGCTTGTTCTGGCCGTGGCCACTTGTTTGTGCGCTGCTTTGTGGAGTGGTGAATATCCGGTGGGTGTGTGCGTGCGAGAGCCGTTCGTCTTTCACAGCGGCATGCACATCACCGTATAACTCATGAAATTTCGTTGTTAGGAAAAAGCGGGAAAAAGCAATACCTGCGGAATTTCGAGAGGAATCGTTTGCCGCGCTCGATTTCAAAATCGTCAAGTTGGTTCTCGCAGGAGATTGCGAACAAAATGCCTTTCCAGAATCGGTTTATGGGCCACAACTTCGTCGCTTCTTGATTCATCGTTTTTGGAAAGAGGCGACACCTGGCAAATTCCACGAGCTGGTGAAATCCGGTCTCAGATTTGTTCCCTGAAAAGAAGACCCTCGAGCAGATTGCGAACAATTGTTTTCCGGTTATTTTCAAATGAAAAGTCAACGAATAAAAGAATAAAAAAATCGAACTTCAGGTTTCTGCGCCTGGAGATGGGGCTTTTTACGATGGTTTTGAAATCCGGAACAACCACCCCTGCCCCGAGAAACGTGCACCTAAGTGCAGGGCGGCAAAGTGGATCGGAAGTCCCGGACGGACCATAGCAACAACAAAGAACTGCCGTGTGTATGTGTGTGTGGTGCAGACGTGATTTTCTTTGAAACCGTCGAATCATTGAACCTTCGGCTGTGGTTGCTGCGGACCAGCTGTTGCGGTCGTCGCCCTGCCTCGGCGTCACGCAACTAGGAGTACTGAGGTGGTGTGCTGCTTGTTCGCCGTTTTTGCGGTGTTGTTGGCCGTGGCGGAGTTGGAGTTTGGCTCTCTTGTCAGCGCTGTACGTGTGTTGTTGTGTCGACCGATTCCTCCTCAATTGAGATTTCGTCCGTGGGCTCCCAAGCTCTCGTGTTCACGATACACGCAACGAACGACGTCCCCGTCCCCCGTCCAATGCCTCTTGATCCCGACTAGATTCTCCACGTGTGGGAAGAAGGTTGCACGGAAACTCTCCTTTTCGGAACTCCCCCTTGCCCGCATTCTGTCTCGAAAGGGATGCATCGCCGATGCTCAACTGTACACCGCTCTCGCTACGCTTGTGTGTGTGTGCGTGTCTTGGCTCTGCGACAAATTTTAGGGACTTCCACCAATCACGAGCAGGGGACTCCGCAGCATCGATTCGTCGTACCGTGGGCGGGAGTACTTCGTCCGCTGGGAGGGCAAGGCGTACTGGCACTGCACGTGGCTGTCGCCGGAGCTGCTCCAGAGGAAGTCCGCCGCCAAGCTCAACAACTTCATCGTGAGTACCAATAGTAATTGACATCCACAGGCAAAGTACCAGTGGCCTTCGCGAGAATAAGTAAGCTTGATTTGCTAAGTGGGGTTGGGGGTAGGGATAGGGATACGTACCCCCCCTCTCTATTTCATTGATTAATAATACCGTCGCGAAGGCTGTTTGAAAGGACTCTCTGGGTGGCAGATTGTTTTGTTCGATTTCCACCTTGGCCTTTTAACGTTTGATTTCTACCTTGGCCTGGCAATTCTCTTTGAGAAGTAACCAGAAACGGGTTTGCCGGTGTGCTGGATATACTACCAATTCTGTGTAGGGGCATAACTCAGCACGAAGGAATCCCCCCCAGGGAGCCATTTGATTGGCCGAAATACCGTCGCATCTGTTTTTTTTTTAGAAAACCTTGATCGAGAACAGACCTGCCCGGGACATCCACCCTCAGTCTAACTAACGGCTATTGGTAGCCAGCGCGGTTTAACTGAGGGTAGATGCTTTGGACAGTGTCTGTTCCCGATCAGCATTTCTCCAGGAATAGGTGCGACAACATTTCGACCAATCGGATGGCTCCCAGGGTGGGGGCTTCAATCGTGCCGAGTTTTACCCCTACCCGGAAAGTGTGCTTTGTGCCTCGTCATACTCCGGGTATCCCGTTTCTGGTTGCTGCTCTTTTGTCTCTCGCGGATATACCCAATTCTGGTTACTGCTCAGGGGTTCATTCGTGCTGAGGTTAACCCCTACCCGGAAACAGTGACATATCTGTCACCCGGTATTTGTGGTTGCTGCTCCCAATCTCTGCGGAATCGTTGAGCGTACATATCCACGGAGTCTCCTACGGTGCCCTCCCCCTCTCTCCCTCATGTCGACTCGGCCGTGCCTCTCTTCCCCCCAACCCTCGTGCCTCTGTCTCTCGCCGCTCCCCGCCGCCCCCTGGGCTCAGTTATTGATCTGCGAGGCTTCGGCACGGCCCCTGCTTTTGCGGTGCCTTCCCCACACCCCCCACGCACCCCTCCGCCTATTTCTCTCGCAGTGTAGCCTTCACTGGGTTTCTCCTATGAAGCAAACATGTTGGATAAAGCATGCAATCGGGAAAGTTAGCACCCCTTTCCCTGTTCTTTTTTCCTCACGATTTTTTTTTTTTTGCTCGCAAAGGCGGTCCTTTCTCTCGGAGCACCCCGCCCGTTCGGCACGGCTATTGTTTTTCCGAACCTCTGGGCACGGCTCTTTTTTTTTTTTTGCGAACCTTCCGTCGTACCGGCTGAAAACCGCTAGACAAATTCCGTTATTCTCGGCTGAAAATCGTTGATATTCCGTTACTTCGGCTGAAACCCCGTGAAAAAAAATGACCAGAAAAAGACGGAAGGCACGCTGACGGCTTTTCCGGAGTCGAGGGACCAGGTGCTGCTGAAGGAGTACAAGCCGAGGTGCACCCTGCCGCACCGCGTCATTGCGCGGCGGACTAAGTGCATGGACGGGATCACCCTGCAGAGCATGTACTTGGTGGGTGGGTGTTTAATGCTTCAATCGAATTCAACAACGACCGCGGCCTTTTTTCTTTTTCTTTTCGGTTTTTCGTGCGGAGGAAGGATACTGGGTGTCGTTTCATCGGTCAGTCGGTTGACTCGGTCGATGCACGTGTTAAACACACGCATGCACACAAATGACGCCCTCCCAAACCTTGCCTTTGCAAGAATTAACAGCCGCACTGAGACTGACGTATTTCAATTGGCCAGCCGGTTAGCTGGGTCCGTGCTAGCAATAGAGACGAAGTCACGGACGCGCAAACACATGGCTTGCTCCCACAGGTGAAGTGGCGCGGGCTGGAATACGAGGAATGCACGTGGGAGATGGAGGGAGACTTGGAGGGCTACCCGCATCTGGTAGAGGCGTTTCTTGACCGGGAGAAGTACGGTACGGGAAAAAGCCCGTCAGGGAATGATGGGTTGAGCCACTCGCGACTGCTTATTTCTCAACATATTCGTGCCACTGGTATCTGAAAACAGGGTGTTTCGTCCCAACCCCGCGGCCTGTACGTCTTCTTTCCCGTACAGCAGCAGCGCAAGTTAGCTCGGGGCGATGACTGCTGTTTCAAATGTCGACCCGCCCTTCCCTGAAATTGATTTCTAGGCCACATATGAAATGTTGGGTGACTGCTGTTTCGATTGTCAACCCCCCCCCCCTCCTCCCCCTTGAAGACCTCCAGAAATTGATTGTAGGACCCACAAAGGACATGTTGGGGAAGAATTTCCTGGAATTGATTTAAAGGGCCCATAAAGGAGGTGTTGGGTTACTGCTGTTTCGATTGTCGACCCCCCCCCCCTGTAAAATTTCCTGAAATCGATTTGTAGGGCCCACCAGGGAGATGCTGGGGAACCTGCACCCCCCGGAGGGATGGGACCGCGTCACACCTCTGCCCAAGCCGACGAGGTTCGAGCTGCTGACGGAGCAGCCGTGGGGGCTGCGGCAGGGCCCCATGTACCCGTACCAGCTCGAGGGGCTCAACTTCCTCCGACAAAGGTTCGGTTCGTCTCACTTGTTTCGGGTTATGTTGATAGGGGGGGGGGGGTACTCAATAGTCGTGCATGCCGTAGTCGTTAGACCATTGACCTCGCATCCCTACAAAGCCGGGACGGAGCACGCCGGGTTCTCACCGGACCAGGCTCTCACATCACCAAGCGCGAAGCGCCGTGAGATATTCGGCGAGTCGCATGAAGGGTGCGCTGCATCCTGCTAAGGGTGTTCGGCATCTTGTGCTTACTTCCTTGCGTACGGATGACAGCTGCGTATGACTTAATTTAGTTTCTGATGCTTTCACTTCCAGAGACAGTTGTAAGCACTGTGTAACCGTCCGAGGATGCGTGGCCATTTTGACACAACGTGGTGCGATCACCCCCCTTGCGCGGTGTGAGGATTGTCCATCCCGCACAACATGATCTACTCGACCACCATTGTGGTTACCACAAAAGAAAAAACAGAGGTAGCAAAAACAAACGGTAGCCTGGTTGCCGAGTCCACGAAGTGAATTGGCTTGATTTACAACATCGTTGCCAAGCGACGAAAACCCAAACCCGACGGCAAACACCGGGGAGGAGAGGGGTGAGTTAGTTAGTGAGATTGGTCACAGCATGGGTTTTGGCTTGGCTCTCGTCTTTCCGAAAGCTTGGCGGAGCGATACGCCGGGGTTCCTGAGGCCGAGGCGTGCAGCAACGGGGAGGATAAGCGTTACAATATACGAGGAGAGATACAGAGACAGAAACAGACAGAGACAGAGACAGAGACAGAGACAGAGACAGAGACAGAGACAGAGACAGAGACAGAGACAGAGACAGAGACAGAGACAGAGACAGAGACAGAGACAGAGACAGAGACAGAGACAGAGACAGAGACAGAGACAGAGACAGAGACAGAGACAGAGACAGAGACAGAGACAGAGACAGAGACAGAGACAGAGACAGAGACAGAGACAGAGACAGAGACAGAGACAGAGACAGAGACAGAGACAGAGACAGAGACAGAGACAGAGACAGAGACAGAGACAGAGACAGAGACAGAGACAGAGACAGAGACAGAGACAGAGACAGAGACAGAGACAGAGACAGAGACAGAGACAGAGACAGAGACAGAGACAGAGACAGAGACAGAGACAGAGACAGAGACAGAGACAGAGACAGAGACAGAGACAGAGACAGAGACAGAGACAGAGACAGAGACAGAGACAGAGACAGAGACAGAGACAGAGACAGAGACAGAGACAGAGACAGAGACAGAGACAGAGACAGAGACAGAGACAGAGACAGAGACAGAGACAGAGACAGAGACAGAGACAGAGACAGACAGACAGACACGGAAAGAGCCGGAGAGAACCAGAGAAACTATACCCGCCACCACAAACTGAAGGGATCCAGTAAACCCCGCTTTTCCCCCCGATATGCGAGAACGTTGACTGTTCGCAGGGGGGCATGTTGCTGGGGCAGTATACGTGTTTGTGTTGCAGCGCTTTTCTCGGTCTTGATGTTTCGGTTGACCTTCGCGGAACCGTGAGGTGGTTTAAAAAAAGGGGTTGGGGGATATGCATACTTTGAAGGATGTGCATGTTTGAGTCCGATCTTTATTTCATTCCATCCCTCCTCCTCCTCCTCTCTCTCTCTCTCTCTCTCTCTCTCTCTCTCTCTCTC